AATGCAATTGTGATCTTTTATGAGGTATTGCATATGACTGTCATGGGCAGTGTATTTGGATTTTAGTTGTCTCAAATTTATAAATGCCTTCTTGCTGTGTTGCTGGATTGCTCAATAAGTTTGCATTGTTTATGAAGATGTGCATGAAATTTTGTTTTCATTTGGTGAATCATGTCAGGGGATGGGTATTTGTCACTGAACACAGGAATTTCAACCACTTTCATTCTCAGACAGAAACACAATTAAAGTCATCTGAAAGTACAAGAGTTGGTTCATAAGTTTTGAAAATTGATTAAATGGAGCATCAAAAATTCCAAATGTTTGTTTTACTTGCATAGCCCCATCATTTGGCACCTCTTCAGCACTGCTCAATGCAGTCTCAGCAGATTTCAATGCATTTTTGTGCAATAAACCCAATGATCAAAACAGTGCCAAAAATTTATCATTGCATTAGTTGATCAAGCAGCTCTTTGGCAAAAGAAGTGAGGCTGACACTGTCCTCAAAATCAATCCCTTTCAGATAATTCTTTACCATTGTGAAAATAAGTTTATAATTGTTGAAATTCTGTTGGATCAATTTCAGAATCTTTGAAAACTTTTGAACCAGCCCTCACAGTTGGCTTTCTTGGAAAAAGGCTCATCATATCTATAATTTTGATCCAGTTCACTCATAAGAAAAAAATGTTGCTTTCCCGCGAATTCTGAATGATTTCTGCGGAAAACTGGAGGCACAAGCACTCATCAACTTTCTCTAAAATCGACAGAAGTGTAGGCACAAAAAAAAGGATTTTTCAATGCAGCCTGTGTTACACTGGATAATGGACTTTTCCCTACATAATGGACTTCAGTTTGCGCCAATATTTGCTCTGGATTATGGTCCCTGTTTTGAACAATGGAATGCAAATGAACTAATTATCCTCATTATTAAAAATTGATTTGCTGTTGAGATTGAGATTCTTTGACATTCTTGTTAGCCTTGAAAATTGTGTTTCCAATGCTAAGGATTTTCTAACTAGTATATTGCAGAATTTGTGTACAGAAAACCTCAAACTTTTCAGAATGGAAGTGGGTTGTTGCAAATAAGACATTATTATTTAGCACCAGTTTTCAAAATTTGGTACCCTTTATATGTCAAGTTTTCATTACAGTTGAACTTCTCTAAATAAAATTTGAAGGGACTCAGAAATCTCAGGTTAGAGATTTCCGGGTTACAGAATTTGGCTTTCCTCTTGGTGAGATAATCAAAGGAAATTATTTTCTGATCAAATTATTAAAACTATGCAGTATTCCCGATTTCCTATCTGCATAAATATGCCAAATCTATTGTGAGGAGCATGAATAAAATATTTTGCATTTGCTTTTTTTTCTGAATCAGGTACTCATCAAAAATGCAACCCCAATTTAAGCACAAAAAAGCCTTGAAAATTCGACTGAGTGAGGTTTGACCCAACAATTTTTTTTAATATGGAGGTTATAATTGCATTTGACTTGATGGAATCAGCCAGGATTTAACTGGAGATTAAGATAAATAAGGTTTACCTTCAAAGGTAAATTTTCTCAATTTTTAAAATTTCAAATGGCAGCCAAATTTCACCAACAAATTCCCAAGACATGCCAAACAATATGGTATAGAAACTGTAGATTAACTTAATTTCCTCAAAAAAGTATGAGGTACTTGAACATTTTGTAACTGAAAATCTGAAAATTTTGTCTCTTTCTTTGAAAACTTGGAAGATATTTTCTGAGGCACAAAATTAGTTACCAAATGAAGTGGTTTCAATTCCTGGAACAAGGATAAATAGCAAAATCAATCAGAAAGAATGCAACCAAGCTTCAAAACAATCAAGAACTGAACATCACAAACGTTTCATTGTCTATAGGAACAGTGATAGTAATTACAATTAGCTTAAATTATCTAGTTGGATGATCATAATAAAGTCAAGTGCATACAACATTAAATAATTTGATTTACTGATGATGTTGAGGACAACATACTTCTCAGCTACACAGATGAAGTCTGTTCCCAGATATGCACCAATGCACTTCCTCTTTTCATACTTGCTAAATACTCATCTGTGCATTTCCTTACTGGAACTGCACTTTTAACAAAAATTTATCTGCTCTTCAGCTTATTTTCCAAATGGGAAGCATGTTCTGTTTCCAAAATGTATGCCATTATTCCAAAAACATGCCACATGCACAATACTGTAATATTATTACAGAGGTCCTCAACCTCAATTCCAGAGGGCCCCAGCCACCATGGACACTTTGTATAGACACAAAGGTGCTTGGCATCAGCTGCGCCATGGAGATTAAATTTTACAGAAAGGTTCAGATTTTGAACAGTTAGTCCTTCAAAGACTTGTGTGTCTGTAACTGGACTTCTCATGTTTTGAAGCCCAAAAAACACAGGGTCATTATACAGGTGGTACCTTGCAATTTGACAGTCCCGCAATTCAATGGTTGAATTTGCTTGGAGGACAACTTTCAATTTGACCTCTTTCCCAAAAAACAACTTGTTTTTGCCTTTTTTCTAGTGCTTCTGTACTGTTTGCCCTTGATTTTATGGAGTGTCTCACAATTTGACCATTTTTTTTAATTTGACCCTAGTTTAGCAATGGATTAGGGTCAAATTCCAAGGTACTGCCTGTATAACAAAGCTGATCAATTCTAGGGATAATTTCATCATTGGGCAGTTACATTATGCAGATCAGTAATTCCTCAAAGGCTTTAAAAAGTATTTGATAAATTGCAGCTTAATACATTGTTTATTAAATTTAATTTGTTCAAGCCAACCGAAAAAAAACTTGCAATAGACCCAGAAGAAACGCTTTTTTTTAGCTCAAAAAAGCCAAAATTCAGTTGGCTTCACAAATATTAACCTTTTTCAGCTCACACATCAATCCTTGCATTTTTTTTTT